CAAAAAGTACACCACTATTTGACGAGCTGAAAAAGAACAGTGAAACACCATTTGACTTTAGAGTTTATATTACCCTAATATATCATACAGTAGGAGTTTATTGTTGTAAAATACTATATAAAAATGCTCTGACCTTGATAAGGAAGCTCTTGACGAGATTGAGAAAAAGGCTCAAGCAAAAAACACAACAAAAGCAGTTTATATTTTTTATATTTTAATGCATTGTTAACTGTTTTCCTTTACTGTTAAAAGCATTCATTGTCTACATTGTATATTGTGTTGGTGTTATGTTATATTTATAATTATTTGTTCCTCTATATGGATAATAATGTTAAAAACAATTTTACTATGCGGGCCAAAAATAAACAATATGCCCACCAAAACTCATGTTATTAATAAATTCCCTTATTAGCAACTGCTTATCACAAGTTGTCAACAGGTTTGGAACAACTTGTGACAACCTTGTCGAAATTATCAGACTTGGTGCAAGGTTGCTCTGACAAGTCTGTTACATGCTTGATATAACAAGATTGTTAGAACTTTGTGTTGACAACCTTGTAACATCCTTGTTATATCATGGCTGTAACAAACTTGTTAGCACAGTTTTGTAACAAGACTGATAATGCCATCAAGCTTGTTACAAGTTGTTAACATTTGAACTTTTTACAACAAACTGGGACAAGCAGTGCAAAGACAACTTGTGAACAGACTTGTAACAACTTGTTTACAGAATTGTTACAAGCTGTGCGTTTTTGCACGTGTACACAATCGCCGGCTATTTCTCAAAATTCTAACCCAAAAATTTGCTCACTATCCAAAAACAAACAAATAAACAAACAAACAATTCCGTCGAAATGATGACCAGTTCTTTTTCCCAAATCTTTCCTTTTTCTTTCACGAGTACGTTAAAATGTTTCAAAACCTGTCGTTGCTGTTTACGTTGATATTTCTTGATTAAATTTTAAATGTCGTTTCCTTAAAATTTGTAAACACAACCGAAGGCGGTGCCATATTGTTTTGCTTGTGTTTCCTTCATATTCGTATCTCCACAGCATGACGTCTACCCTGCGAGCAAAGTCATATCTCTTCCCTTTTCGGCACGAAGAAGGAGAGGGACTCTGCATAACTTGTGTGCACACTGAAGGTGAGTTCATCCGAGAGCGTGTTCCATTTCACTCCGAGGATTTTCGGTTCCGGCTCATGATTGGCGAGATTGGCCACATTTCCTTCTGGTTCTGAGTCGGCCTGATCATTTCCGAGTGCAGCAGTCACTTCTGGATGAATTGGCTTCCTGACGACTGGCGCAAGTTCCCTAGGGGGTCTAATCAAGGGTACGCCCCCCCCCCCGGAAAATTATGAAAATTAGAATCCTAGAAATGTCATTTCTTGCAATATGGGCATTGAATTATGAGCTTCAGTTTGACTTCAAAAAAGGAAAAACCTTTGAAATTGTCCCATGTTTCTGAATTTGATTTTTTGCCCCTGCCCCCCCCCCCTTGCATCCCTGTCGACCAAGGCCAACAGGGGTGCGCACTCCTGTGCACCCCCTCCTATATTTCAATGGTATTGCTAGTTTTGGACTACGCATGGCACTTTTTTGCCAGTCGATGTACGTATGTACATGCTTATTCAACGGAAGTGGTAAAAAAGGGTTAGGATTGGGGGTTAGGGTTGGGGTTAGGGTTAGGTGGTGTTCCGGCGGTGTTCCGGCGGTGTTCCGGTAGTCAGTGTTTTACTACATGCCTATTCAACGGAAGTGGTAAAAAATATCGACTGAAAGCCAGTCTGAATTCAGCTACAGTAGTTTCCTATCAATTTTTAACTATCCATGGTAAACAAAAACGCGCTCAACGTCCAAAATAAAAAAATAAATATATATTGTTAAGTGAATCATACCTCTCTCCTTCGCTTAGTTTATTTATAACGTTGCTTAAGACCAAAAGGTTTTGGTTGATGAAACCTCCTCTCAAGCGGACAGCTCTTATCTCCAGCTTTTATCTCTCTGCTTGGAAGATCTCAACAAAAAATAATGAAACCTAGATTTTATGACACTTGCCGGAAATCACGCAGACATGAGTAATTGGTATTGGTAAATCCGGTATTGGCAATTCCAAAGGCAATGCCCTTCGTGGTTGTAGCATGGGCATTTTGTTCCGGATGCAATAGGGTATGATGTTTTGCTTTGCAACCCGATATTCCACACTCTTTCTTATATTTGCAATTCCGGGAAATGTGAGACTCCTCCAAGCAACTGAAGCAGAGCCGCTTCTCTTTTGCAAAGTTTAACCGGTCTCCGACTGACAGTTCCTTAAATTGAACACAGTTCTTTGGCTTGTGGTCACCACTGCATTTTGGACACTTGGGAGCCTTTCCTTGATTGTGCATAGACCTCCGGTCTCTTCTTCGGTGGTCACGATTAATGTTGCTAGGTGGTAGTGTGCTCCAAATAGATCTCCCTCTAGCTCCAAGCCAGGTCTTTGCATATCATAATCATACAAAATGAGATATCTCCAAAACGAAGCAAGAAAACAAAAATCTGTCAAAGAAGTTACTCTACAGTTTTCAATGATCTTTCAAATTAGACTAAATAACAACACTGACAATTTTCGAGTCATATGCCTTTAACATGCATATATTTGATTTGAGTCTCAGTTACAAGTTTTGATGCAACTGCGATCTATCCCGACGCAGAAAGAATCATTTGTATGCGCAGTCGAGACTCTTAAAAAGTATAAATTACGTAAGAAATTTATACTCTGTACAATATGTGAAATTCAAACCTGAAGTGTAGTCCTCGTTTCATCTATATACGCCGGTGAAACGGCGCATATGATAGACGTTCTTGCGTTCCCGCCAAGAGAATTTTTTAGTACATGTGTAAGGTTTGAGTTGCGAAAGGGGACATGGCTGCTAGGAACATGTGCGCACTCACGTTTTTTTTAACGCATTCACGTTTTTTTTAACGCATGCACGTTTTTTTGCCAGTCGATGTACGTATGGACATGCTTTTTTCCTATCCATGGTAAAAAAAAAACGCGCTCAAAGTCCAAAATAAAAAGGTAAATATATATTGTCAAGTGAATCTTTAAGCAAATGCGTCAATTTCGAACTACGAAAGGGGACATGGCTGCTAGGAACATAGAAATATATTAGCACATGTTAGTTTAGCTTGCGTAACGGCTCAGAGAAAGTAGAGCTTGCACGAAACCCCCTGCTTTGCCATTTCCGCCCACTTAGCCTGCGGGCTACGCCCACTTTAAATGTGAATATGTGAAATTCAAACCTGAAGTGTAGTCTTGGTTTCATCAGCATAAGCCATGCTGATGAGGCAAATGATGGAAGTTTTTGCGTTCCCGCCAAGAGAATTTCTCAAAATATGCGTGAGCCTGGAGTTGCGTAAGGGGACATGGCTGCTAGAAACGGCACTAAGTCGTTTTGACACCGAAGCCAACCAAATCAACTGCTCTTTGGTTGCTTCCTTAAGCTTTCCATTAAGCGTGATAGATTGGGTGTCTGAATACCATCACAAGTCTATATCTTTAGCTTTAAATTGCTTTGCATCTGTACCAGGGGAAGACCAAATGCCATTAGATATATTTAGCCCTTCTTCAACAAACATTTGCAACGCTTGAAATGTTCCTGTCCATTTCAGCTTATCTTTATCATTGGGCGATATGTTATGTAGAAGGCTAATTCCCTTACCTTATTAGCATTCATCATTGAAATAGATTTTAGCGGAGCGAAAAAAAACACGTCCGACTCGTTACTTGTTAAATGTGAGACTCCTCCAAGCAACTGAAGCAGAGCCGCTTCTTTTCAGCAAAGTTTAACCGGTATTCGACTGACAGTTCCTTAAATTGAACACTTGTGGTCACCACTGCATTTTGGACACTTCCGCCAAGAGAATTTTCAAAATTCTAGTAAGTTTGGAATCGCGAAAGGGGAAATTTACACTCGGTACAATATGTGAAATTCAAACCTGAAGTGAAGTGTAATGATCGTTTCGTCTATACAGGGTGTATCAAAAAAAGCGCAATCCTCGACTGAAATGTAAATTGCTAAACAACTAATAGACGAAAACGTTAAAGTTTACATTCATTTTAAAGCGTAGCCATTCAGCTTTCTAACAGTGGGTTGTTTCTTAAATTTGACTCATTGGTTCGCGGGTAATAATACTTTACGTTATTGCGATTGGAGATTAAAAAAATTGAGATGGAATAACAAATCGTTCTCATGAAAATAACTGATTTTTTCATTAAAACAAAAAATGTTGCATTTTATTAAATGGATTGTAACAATAAGTATAATTACGGCTTTTCTTCCACTATTTTTAACTCAGTTTGAAACTTCAAATGCGATATAATTTTGGCTTGGACCATCTAAGCTGACTGACATCAACTTGCTATAATTTCTGTTTACATTACATCGCAATTCGATGACACTCTGGCTCAGACACCAGAATGTTTTGACGATTTTTAGCATTCGTTTAGGATTTTCAAACAACCTGGTCTCTTTTAAAATACTTTTAATTTGTTCTTACGTGGTTTTCCAGATGTAGTGACGACAACATTAAAGTTTAAAGAAGAAAATTCTAACATTTAAACCGACTAAACAATAACATAGTAAACTTGCATAATTAAACAGCAACTAAAATGATAGGTTTTACTAAATCTTTTCCTGTGCAATTATTACTAGCATTGGAGACAAGGATAATAGTTTGTTTGAAAGAGAAAAGAACAGGCTTTGAAGTAAGCCTAAAAGCGTTTAACTAGAGATAGTATTTCGAAAGTTATTAAGCACAAAAAATGAATTGCGTTTATTTTGATACACCCTGTATACGCCGGTGAAACGGCGCATATTATAACTGTTTTCGTATTTCCCCCAAGAAAATTTCTCAAAATTCTTGTTAATTTGGAGTTGCGAAAGGGGACATGGCTGCTTAGGAACATAGAAACATATTTTTCTCTAATTTGATCGAGATGCTTTACATAGAGGGCAGCTTTCTCTGTACCGTTGAGCTCTCTTTCTTTAGGAAGAACAGGTGTTGTAGGTCATGAGACGTCTCTTTTCTTGCTCGTGACTGCAGATTGTCTTTCGGCTTCATTGGTTTGTTCCTGCGGCGTTCTCTTCTGTCGGGATAATTCCGATAGCTGGGCAGCTTGCTGTGACCGCTGTTCGTCTGCCTCTCGGTTTTCCTCATCTTGCTTGTCGAATTCATCTTGGCAGTCTGCGTTTTCCTGTTGTATGACAGGGGGCGATCTGCTACGCATAGAACTACTTTGCGACTTGCTACAACTGTTGGATCCTGATGCTCTCTCATCCAGATGTTCTTGCACCATACCGGTGATAGTATTGACTTCCAGTTTTATGTCGGCTAATGTCATCATATCGTCTAGTAGTTCCTCATCATCTTGAAGATGTTCCTCTAGTTGGGTATGAAGGGGTCCAATTTCTTTGAATGCTTCCAGAATATCACCCAGGTTTTTCTTGGTGGTCGCTCTACTACCCACTTGTTCCATCAATATTTTAATTTTGGAATAAGTAATAGGACCTCTACATGCGTCTTGGACCTGTTTGCTTGTAATCATTGTTTATCTAATGGATTTCTTTTATATTCAACGGGGTCTTGAAAGTAGACCATGCCGCAAAATATTGTATAAAAAGTGCACGCGTATTATGCATGCGTTGTTTTGTGTATTTTTATGTAAATCCATTGTAGAAATATCGTAATTGAAGTTAGCATGTACTGTATGTAAAGTTGTTACTTGGTAATTGATAGGTGTAATTTGATGATGCACATGAATTTATCACAGGGTCGGATTTGACCATACTGTGATATTACAAATTTAGAATTGGTAACAAGACTTGTGATTTTGTGTTGTGTAATTTTCTTGTATCTCGTTTGAATAAATGGTTTTCTTAAATTTATCTTATCAGGGTCTGGAAAGTAGACCATGCATTAAGAAATTGTAAACTTAATCCCTGCGTTATACTGTGTACTGTTTCCGTAATCTGTCCATCACATGTAGTTAAGTCTTTTTGAGGATTGTAGGTTTAATCCTTAGTATTTAAGTATATACATGCAGTTAGATTATGTACATACTCACAGGGTCTTGAAGGCAAACCATGCCGTGAAATATGGAATGAAGCCTATGGTTTGTGTGATGTATCTAACTATTGACAGGTAGAATAGGTAGATGTTGTACAATCTACCAAAATTGCAGCTTATAGAATCGGGCAGAACATTTAGTTATGCCAAATGGGTAAACCTAATTAGATGCCCTAGACTAATAATCCCATATGTTTTACAAAACACAAAAAAACGTGGTGCCCAGGGTCTGGCAAAACATTTTTTGACTGCACAGTATGGCAGTCATTACGTAGTATATACTATATGGATTAATACTTTTAAATAATATATATAATAAGGACTGATTGTCCAAAGCAGTTCGAAGCAGTCCAAGCCAGTTTCGCGTTTCAACGTGGTATGATATTGGGTCAATATCATTAGAAATGACTGTAAAGAAAGGCGAACATGGGTCGAACGGCATGTAAAACGGCTTTGGACAAACCATCCCATTGGTTTAACAAAAAATAAAATATAACATCAGGGAGATAGATGGATGGTATTGGAGAGATGTTGTGATTTTTAATGAAACATTGAATAATGACGTGACTGTGTATTGGGGCTATAGCAAACCTCACAGAGTCTTGGGTTGACCGTGCTTTTGAAGTATGTTAGCGGATAGTATATATCATATGGAAGATACAGTATATATAGTTGTGTTAATTGTGCTTTTTCATTTGTTTGGCCCTGCATTGACTTCAGCTTGTACATTCTCATCATGTTGGGAATCCTTGTCATGTGTATTTGGAGGGTCCACCACCCCTGGTTTTGTGTGATCACTCGCAGGGGTTTCGTACTGAGTATTAATCACCGACCAACCTCTCGCGCCTTCTGAGTGACTGTATATTACGCTTAAATGAAGTACTTCCACACTAGCCAGCGTGGCCGGCTCTTTTATAAGTAGAGCCTGCCCGAAAGCCCTAGTCAAATCGATGCCGCCCACTTAGTTAATATTCCATATTAACACCGCCCACTCGAAATAGTTTTGTATAAATTGATGACTTAAAATTTTAATTGTTGCATATTTACTATAGCCTGCGCTACATGCTTTCAATAAACTTTTTACAATAGATGGATAGCGATTCAACTGCCGGGAAATACAAGCAAAACGTCGGCATTTCGAGCGAAGGCCCTTCGACTTTGTCTGGAAATTAGTAGTAGACGAAGACCGTTCAAAATTATATTATGCTTTGCACCTGTATGGCTGTACAACAGTTATAAATATTGCAGTATTAAATATGACTTAGGAAAAGTTTAAATAGACCCCTTCCCGTGTTATACACGTTGGCAGGCAAATGTATTTTAAAAGCTCCAAAGAGAGCTTCGTATTATTATGGTGTATTAAACACAATGGGCAATGTATTGTTTTATATAATCCTAATTTGCCAGCCAGCAAAATATAAACAAGGCAAGGACAGCCAAGGTTTTATACTCTATACTATAGTGACCATACGGTAAAATAATACGACATATGCAGTAATAGCAGTATGGCTTGCCGTATGCTGTTTAGATACCGGTATATGTTATACATTTTACACTTTGTCTTTTGAATTTTATATTTTAGCCGACAGGTTTACACTTTAATATAGCGATGCCGTTTGTTTTTACTGTAAATTAGCGTAACATGTCAATCAAACTGTCGTCAACGTAAATTCAGCCAATCACAATTCTCGGCGGCTGCCTGGCGAGAGTCATCAGTTTGACTTGGGCTTTCGGGCAGGCTCTACTTATAAAAGAGCCTGCCACGCTGGCTATTCCACACTGATACTCCACAAGATACGTTTTATATAATTTACGCTACATAAATAGATAATTTTACATTACAAACACACTACATATGACTCGAAAGGTCCAATTAAAAGCACATTTAGTCAAGGCAACAAAGTACTTAGCCAAACAACTAATATTAGCGATATAAATACAAGAAAATAAAACATAACAATTCGCATGCAATTACGTCGCTATATATTACAAAATAAGTAAGTTTTTTACCGTTCTAGATCAGCAATAATGTACTTGAAGCTTTTGTCCCCAAATATACTTATTTATATTAGTTATCCTCGACGTAATCACAAAAGAAGCTATCATCATGGATAATAAAATAAATGGATTGGAAACTTCTGACGTCATTGACTGCATCCTTGTTGAAAAACGTGACGTCACGCGTATTGCGAATGTTACCAAAGTTATCGGCATATTTGTTGTTTTGCTATATTTTCCACTTTAAAAAGGTGATCTTGAAGCGTAAACTGGTCTAATTGTTTTAAAAACATGCCTAAGCCACGACAAAGTATTCAAGGTAAATGTTTTTCGTCTTTGTTTTGTATTTTTTTACATTTGTAGCTACGAAATTGGCGTCACAAATTTTAACGAAATTTGCGATGTATTTTTCACTGTTTAGTGCTTGAAATATTTGCTAAAATTGACTGGGAATACTTAGAGTTTTCATCGTAGAATGGCGTGGTTACATTTATTTGCTCTTTGACTAAAATGTTTAGCTGTATTATTGCTAAACATGCCGTTTTTGAGAATTTGATTTTCAACTATAGGTTGAGGCATCCAACCATGCCATCAATCCCAGTAAAAACATTAGGTCACGTCAGCTAGTTTCCTATCCATTTATTTTATTATCCATGCTATCATACAACAGCAGCAGTTCTGAAAATTCCTCGACCACGAGTTTGTCAAATCGAACAACCGTTTTTTTCTCAGGGCACAAATCTTCGGGTATAAATCTCCGGGTGTCAAAGGCCGGTCCACATTCGTTTTTTCTCAATACCAAAGTCGGGGGAGCCGGTATTTGTCTGGCACAAAAGCAATCATTGGGCACAAAGGCACTAATAATGCCTTTTTTATTGTTCTAAATCAAATTTTTGCTCTGGGAAATTCGACATAATATGAAGTACGCTGTCTGAAATACGACCAAGTGACCTTTAGGAGCACTGATTTTCGTGGTCTACATGTGATCAATAAAATATATTACTTCTTTTGGATTTCTTATGATATTTCATGTAAAATTGTCCAGTGTCTATAGGTGAATGTAAAATTGTCCAATGTATGTACGTGGATGTAAAATTGTCCAATGTATGTACGTGAATGTAAAATGGTCCAATGTCTGTAGTTGAATGTGGTCTTTCAATTAGTGTAGGTAACTCTTTGTGTGGTTGTTATATGTACGTGATTGAAAAGCTGTGCGGATGTATTCGGTCTTTGCAAACTGTTCATCCATTTGAATTCTTCTTTGTGTATATTGTACCTTTGAATTATTTTCCAATGAAGTTGGCAACGTGCCTTCCTGCCCAAGGGAACTTAAGTCGCCATCATAATACCGTTATTATGCGCTACGGACTAATTAACATGAAGAAAATGTCATCAAAGATGGAGACGAAAATGTCATCAAAGATGGAGCAAAAACCATCAAAGTTTCAGCACGATACAAGTCAAAGCGGATCACTCGCGCTTATGAAGAAATAAAACAACCAAATACAAGCCAGGAATCGTGTGAATAATGATGAAGAGGAAACAAACCATATAATAGACATTGGTGAAGTATTACCATAATGAACCAGAAGAACTTCAGATGATAGTAGGTAGATTGAGTACGAAATCATTACCATCGCAACTTCTGATATTTTAAACAAGTATAAGTTGTGTTAAATAAAAAGAAGACAAAAATGATCCTTAATTTAAAGGGAAATACTGAAAAACCAACAAAAAAATAGTTTTCCTTGATGGAAGAAAGATTCACCGTATTTCAAAACCATAATGCAGATTTTCTTTGTCATTTTTGTTACAAAATTTGTTACAACTCATTTCAAGCAAAATGCATTTGTCTCTCTTGGATTAGAATGCCATCGTCACATGTGCATGACGTTCCCAACCAGCGTAAAATAATTTTGTCAAGCAATTTTCAGGTAATTTCAATGTGAAATTCTATATAACTTCTGTTGGTATTTCAAATTAAAGCACAAGCTATGTACGAGTTTTCAGTGGCAGATTTCAAGATATTTTGTAAATAAATATTAACCGTCTTTTTTATTTGGGCAATGCTTGCAGACATAACTTTTGTTGCTATTTTTCTTTAACATATGGATACATTGTATATTGTGATCGATCGAAAAATGAATATATGATATTACAAGTACACGTTTCTTGAGTCCTATTAAACGGGGCACAATTGAATTAAATAAAAGCAATCTTCCTAACTTGTTGTTTAGGAACGTAAATGTAAAGTTAATCCATCCAATTTCTTTCAACCCATTGAGTCGCATTGTGCCCTGATGTGCCGCAATTTATTATTTTAGATTATATTATGCCATTTTAAAAACATTGAAAATACGCCAAAGCAGTGCAAAGATATGGTGCTTAAAAGTCTGAAAAATCCGCCATTCATGTACTGAAAATAGTTTTTTTGGAACTTTGAATCGCTATATCTTCGCACTGCCTTGTTGTATTTTCAATGTTTTTACAGTTTTTGAGATCCTTATAGGACATTCTCATCAAAGAAGTTACTAAGCATGTTCTTCGCTCGGGTTGTTTTTTTTTGCGCCATAGTTCGCACGTCATTTTCCCGCCAAAATGTAACAAAATCGAAAACAAAAACGATACGATTTTTAGGAATGGCAAGTTCTATCCTGTGAAGAAGTTCGTGATATTCCTAACTAAGGTCAGAAAGTTATAAATACTTGGCCCAATTTTCTGTCTTTTTTACCACCGTGTTTGAATAGATGGCGGCCATGTTGGTCGTTCCCACTCGCTAACAAACGCTTAAAAACAGCAATAACGTTTATCATTTGAATACTTTAAAAATGTATTTGGAATAGGGTTAACTTAATATTTAAGTTCCTTTTTAAGAAATAGGAAATGTACGAATCTTCTCTCATTTGATGGGAACGACCTGAGACTGCAATCACGGCTTCAATTTTTGAATTGCTGAATAATTTGATGCACTATCTAGTGTATATAAGATATCTATGGGACGATCTCCTGCTTTTTAATTAATGTCGATGCAATAGAAGTGTTGATAAAATATTGCACAAATTCCTTTCCTGACAATTGATCAACTTCCTGTTACTTTTAGATGATCGTATCATATAGAGAACATGGCGTACATGGCGTAAACTCCGTCACTTTTTTAAACGTTTTAGTATTTTTGTAATCTATCAATCGATTTTGTTTCATATATGGTCTTTTATTACAAAATCGAGATCTTTAACATTATGCACTAGTCAATTGAAACCCCAGCCCCCCGACCCCCGGGAAAGAGCGGGGAAATTAACATTTTGACAATGTTAAACTTTGGTAATTTCCCCGCCACCGTGGGAATATTGACTGTTAAAGTTACCGCCCCTATGGCCCGGCACTTTGCAAATTTTCATGACTTGGGAAATAAGAAATCGTTGAAGTATAAAATGTTCACAACATGTGACGGCAATTTTTGATCTTAAACTTTGATCCGCATCAAAAGATACTGAATAAGTCTACGTTTCGACTATTTTGCAGTCATCATCAGGAAAGTGAAAATATATTCCTTTTTTTTAAGAAAAACTATGAGGAAACAATGATAAAATGGACAAAAGTTTATAAAATATCTTCTCTGACTTCGAAGATTCCGCCATGTTGCCATGACGATAAACATGTTCCAGTCCACTTTCGTATCAGCCGCGTGTTAAAGTCCCGGCTATATTGTCCCGGCTAATAAATTGACTTGTTATTTCCCCTGTACCCCGGGGGGAAATGGTGCATTAAACCCGCGTTAATCCACAGCCATTCCCCCGTTAATTCCCCGCCCGGGGGTCGGGGGGCCGGGGTTTCAATTGACTAGTGCATAATATAGTTAACGCTTAATGGCATGAAAACTATTTGAAAAGTTATGTTTTGCATGGTCTGGCGACTACGAATCGTTGAAACGGTTCGTAAAGGACGACCTAAATCTTGAAGGAACATGGTCACAGCCTGGTGGGGACAGAAAACTCTTTACTCTTGGTGATTCTACTATATTATGGAATAAGAATGTTTTATGTCTTGACGGTGTTAGGGCGAACGAGATTGTGCAAAGTCTGTGCAAGCTGATGTGTTCTTTCGAAGCACCTATATCAAACGCCCGGCAGCCAAGCATGCAATCGGCTGCTGTTTGTGATACTTTCGGAGACCTCCAACGGGGTCAGTTGATGAATGCAGAAGCGATTCAGGCTTTATCAAGAACGATTACCTTATTATAGGAAACAAGACGCTCTGCGGAGCGTTAACTCGCTGGGGCTATACAAATACGCACATTACTGTACAATGTACATGATACGTACAGTACACAGCTCTTTCAATTGAGATTCAAGGTTTTCCCCGAGCTAAGTGGAAAAGTCGAATACGAGCGCGAAAGGCTGTTTATAAACACAGTACTAAAATGCGGTGCTCTGCAAATCCGGCGTTCCGTCTGCAAGTATAAAAGTTATATTTAGAGTTTTAGTACGCTATATACATTCTTCTGTCGGCCGCCAGTTGGTCCGCACGCAAGGATTAATAAACTGCGCTTTAAAACGTTCAAAATAACATATTTGGGGGCTTTTGGGCTCAAAATACTATCAAAATGAAGCGAGAAGTGAGACGAATCCACTGGTATACGGCCGAAAAAGAGAAAACCAATGATACCAAAGTTATCAAGTGTCAAACGTAGTGCATTTTTTTATAATTAGTTTAATAATATTGAGCGATTGGCAACATTAATACAATTTCGCTTGGCTTTCAAAGACAAAGGCCATAAATCGCTGAATCGAACGGTGTAGCTTTCTTCTCAAAATATAAAGCAGCACAGTCAAATGTATATAAAACCTTTATAAACTTGCGATTTGCGAAGGTTGCTGTTTCCATGCGAAATTCCTTGTAAAATTGTTCAATTTTCCCGAATTTTCCTCAAAATAGAGGGCTATTTATGGATAATTTGGGTAAAATCGGCAGGAGACTTATGGATAATTAGGGGAAAATTAGGCAGCTCATTAATATTCTATTTTGTGGCTGTCGATCCACTATCCGAGAAAAATGTGAGCCGAAAACTATACTCGCCCGGGCACAGGGTGCCCCAGCGAGTAATAAGCCAGCTATTAAGCTTTTTTAACACAGAGTTTATTACATTTTGGAGCTCACCTGTTGTGTTTGCTTAATAACTTATACTCATGTCATCAGCGAACATTCTAGGTATAGCATAATTCAAGCAATTTGGAAGGTCATTTATATAGATCAGAAAAAGTATGGGCCCCACCACATTGTTGGGGAACACCACAAGTCACCGGGGCAGAATTTGACAATTGGTCGTTAACACGGCACTTTTGAGTTTGGTTGGTAAGATAAGATTCAAACCAGGTTAGACTCATTTGATCAATATCATAGTTTCTTAGCTTTTGTAACATAATTTGGTGATCGATAGTGTCAAAAGCTTTTTTTAAATCAATAAAAACTACTCCATTGATTAAACCATTGTCAATATTCATGGACCAGTCACTTGTGGCTTCAAGCATTGCAGTTACCATACTGTGTAGCGATCTAAAGCCAGATTGGCAGGAAGTTAAAATCTCATTTGTGTTTACGTATTCATATAATTGGTCAGAAAAAATTTTCTCAAAAATGTTTGCAATGGCAGGAATAATGGAAATTGGTCGGTAATTGCTTGGATTACTCTTAGGATTACTTTTGAATATTGGTGTCACCCTGCTTGCCTTCCATTCCTTTGGGAATATTCCTGTACGTATTGATGCAGAAAATATTCCCGTCAGTGAAGGTGCAACCACCTGTGCAGCCATTTTCAATTATTTTGTTGGGTATATTATCCAACCCAACAGCTTTTTTCTCATCAATTTCACCAGTTAAGAATTTATAAACAGTTTCAAAGGTAGGAGATTGCAATGAAAATTTCTTATCCGTTGCTTTAAGATAAAAGCTTGGAGCATGGTCAGGGGTTGGTATAGATGCAGCCAGGTTGTCACCAACACTCGAAAAATAGTCATTAAAAGCTTCAGCAATGTCCATAGGTGCCGTCATTTCTTGATTATTAAAATTTAATTCTGACACACTATTTGTTTTGCCAATATTTTTCGAACTTAATTCGTTAATTAATTTCCATGTTTTTTTCATGTCACCTTTATGAAGATCAAGATTATTTGTATAATAATTTCGCTTAACTTCCTTGATTTGATTGTTTATTCGGTTTCGAGTCTGTTTGTATTGCTGCCAAATTTGAGGATCATTAGATATATTCGCTTTCTTTTTTAAACTATTACGATGTCGTATCTTTTGTCTTAATTCTTTTGTTATCCAGGGGGACCTTCGATTTTTAACCCGCCTGGATCTAAATGGTGCATGTTTGTCAATTGCGCTCATTAAGTTTTCTTTCCAAATTTTCCACATCACATTAGGGTCCGCAGAACAATAAACATTGTGCCAATTTTTTTGTTCACGATCTCGTAAGTAGTGTTCTCTATTAAATTGCTTCATTGACCTAATATGTACCGTTTTTTGTACCCCTTGTACATAGTGAGCCTTACGAATTGCATAAATCAATGAATGATCGCTTATTGACAGGGATAAGACTCCAGCATCTACAACATGAGAAGGTGTATTTATAAGACATAAGTCAATCAGGTATGATTGATTTATAATCAATAAGGCATAAGTCAATCAGAGTATGCCTGTTCGCGGGTTATGTAGTGGCATGACTCTAGGGAAATCGAAATCGTTATTTGATTGGCTGCCGCGATCATCAATGCTGCCGATACAATTAATGCCTGTTTTTGCGAGAATTACACGTGGACATACGCGAAGAGAGAATTATCAATGTTTATCAGATTTGGAATGCGAAATCAAACAATATAAATCGAAGGATATAATACAGCCATTTTCGTCCAAGCACAAACCGCAAACATTTTCGCGCGTTTGTTTACGTTTGAAACGGGGCGTTTACCGTTGGAAACTGAAATGTTTCACCGCTCATGTGACGTGTCACATTGAAAAGCCTTAAGCTATTTTTGGCGCAACTGTCATGTTTTGATGTGCCTCCGTGCACGTTTCAATATGTCCAAGCCCATGATAATACATTTTAGTCACAAAAAGTATGAATATAAACAAGTTTGGTCGCCCTTACAATATCGTGAGCTTGGAAATACTGAAAAGTACACGAAAGCACATCAAAACATGAAAAATAACTGAATTAGGCTTTTCACTATAACACGTCACATGAGCAGTGAAACATGTCCGTTTCCAACGGTAAACGCCACGTTTCAAACGTAAACAAACGCGCGAAAATGTTTGCGGTTTGTGCTTGGACGAAAATGGCTGTATTAATCGTATGAAAAATTATTGGGACGTTGGGTATATACTTATAAAATGGCATGGTATTTATGAAGGACTTTTTATCGATCTACAGTATGAGTATATTGTATGTGGAAACGACGGCATATAAACAAGTTTCGTAATATTCCATTTAAAGTGTATATGAAATGAAAATTTCGATATCGGGTTTTTTGCATTTTCTGAAAATTTGGTCTTTTCCGATCATAAAAATACAAACCTTGTTGAAAGATTCGAACCAGAAGTTTGTTAATTTTACGATTAAAGTTCGCTTTTTCGACTATCTACTGGCGAAAGACTGGTACCGGGCCTTGTGACGTATGCAGTATGACACGCCGAAGTGTTTCACTATTTTTCACTATACGAAAACAACAAAATAACACAAACGTCAGACAGTTGCCTTTATATTTCGCTATAAAAATGTCCGATAACGAAAGCTTTGACTCACAGATAGAGACAGAAGGGTCAACAGATAATGAGGACATCGCAGAGCAATCGTCTGTTGTTCAGCCATATCAATTTGAGCTAGTCGCAGATAGTGACTACGAGGAAGGACCAAACAGACGAAGACGGCATTCTTCGTGAAACTCTTGAGGCGAGATTTAAGAAAAATGCAGCTGTTAATTCATGGTAAGTAAAGTTATGAAAGTAATATTATATTAACCCGTTCCTCGACTATTTATTACCCTGTTTCGTCTGATATGTGATTTTATTTTAAGGTGCTATGTGGACATTGTAGCGACGAATTATTACAGGACGCTAGATAGTTATAGACGCTAGATATTTAATATTAACAGCTTGAGGTTGTGAGGTAGCGTGTCCGTACATTATATAAAATTTTCTACCTCATTTCCTTTGGAAACGATACTAATTCGGTATCAAATCAAGTATAAAAGCTCTTGTGACCCTGTTGGTATATATTTTGAGGATTTCGCTAGTGAATTTACGCATTTATTTGCCATTTTATTACCGTGGACGTGGTTGTCTGTCGTGTTGCAGTTAGTATAAAATCAAGTATAAAGCTCTTGTTATAGACGCTAGATATTTAATATTAACAGCTTGAGGTTGTGAGGTAGCGTGTCCGTACATTATATAAAATTTTCTACCTCATTTCCTTTGGAAACGATACTAATTCCCGTATCAAATCAAGTATAAAAGCTCTTGTGACCCTGTTGGTATATATTTTGAGGATTTCGCTAGTGGAATTTACGCATTTATTTGCAATTTTATTACCGTGGACGTGGTTGTCTGTCGTGTTGCAGTTAGTATAAATGATTCGTCATTACTGCTGGCTAATTGGTCTTCACTGTTCATTGGATTTGTCTAACATTTTCTGTACTGTATAACGTACTTTGTTCCTATTATCGTATCAATGTTGGTGTTTTTGTGATAAAGAAAATTTCAATAATACGCGTTTTTATGATTTTGACCGTTGGAATTTTTTGAATTATTCGCATCTAGCGTCGTTCGTCATGGCAACAACGTTATAAATACATAATTACAAAGTCATTTATCTTTGGAATTACCTGTTTGAACTTTGACATTACCCTCAATCGTAATTTGAGATTAATATTATCATTGCTCAATTATCGCTTTCCAACATGTACAATATGTGCGGGGTTTACCCTTGAATATTATTTACATCGTTTTATAACATTTAAAATATGATCTTTCTCAAAACAGTCTATACAGTCCTTTTTGCTTGGTTGATTTTCCGTGTGGTTCGTCTCACAAATGAAGATCGTAAGACATTATTTTACTCGTCTACAAACATTCTAACTTCTCCTTGTTATTCTCAAGCCCGTCGTATGAGAAAAGATTCGACGTCACTATCTATTCTTCGAACTGTTCGAAATGCATCTGCCTTACTACAAAGATCGTCTTTACCACTGATGTTGGTCCTCTTGGCAAACGACGTGCAACTAAATCCAGGTCCTTCCAATCCCATTCCTGCTAAGCCGTGTAAAACTAATCCTAGCGATCTTAAAGTCCTTTACTTAAACGCCCGAAGTTTGAAGTCTTTCGTCCCTGCTGACAATGACACTTCAAATAAAGTTTGCAAAATAACCTTACTGCAGGAGTTGGTTCACGGTGGTGAATATGAAGTTGTCTGTATTTGTGAAACTTGGTTGAACAGTACGATCCTTGATACGGAACTGCTCCCAGGTTTCAATATTTTTCGTCGGGACAGGACGGGGAGAATTGGCGGTGGAGTTCTAATCGCGATTAAAGAAAACCTACATGCTACTCGGCGTTGTGACCTCGAAAGAGATGGCATTGAACTTGCTGTAGTTCAACTCAATAATGGGAACAATGAACCAGTAATTCTTTATGTGTATTACCGTCCCCCCAACTCCTCTCCTGATGCCGGTCTCAATCTTCTAAACAACTCCATAGCAAGTAACCCGGAGTCATGTTGCATAATCCTAGTTGGTGACTTTAATATTCCTTCTATCTCCTGGTCAGACAGCCCATCAACTCCTATTAACACTGGTGGATGCTCCAATGGTGAAAACCTTTGTGAACTTATCGACGATAATTTTCTGTATCAGTTCGTTGATGGCCCAACCCACCGTGCTGGAAATAAGCTTGATTTGCTGTTTTGTAATCGTACCGAAACCCTGTCCGACGTACTAACTCTCTCCTGTGATGAACATAACTTTCCGTCTGATCACTATACTATTGAATTCCTTATTCGCACAAAGTTCAGAAAAGCAAAACCTGTGCGGCGAACAGTCTATGATTGCAACCGAGCTAACTTTCCCGAACTTTGTAAAGCCTTGTCTCAAACAGATCTTCGTGTATCTCTTTCCGACAACATTGATGATTGTTGGAAACATTGGAAGGACTTATTTTTATCAGTTGTGTCAAGATATGTTCCGACCAAAGTTGTTAAGAATACCAACTCTCCTCCCTGGATCGATGGAGAAGTTCGCCATCTAATCCGAAAAAAGTACACCGCCTTACGTAAATATCGCTTGAAGAAAACGCCTGAACGTAAAGTTAAACTCCGGACATTGTGTCAGCAAGTCAAGAATGTTATTCGAAAGAAACATAAAAAGTATTTGGACAAAATTGAAATTTCATTTAAAGAAAATCCGAAATTGTTTTGGAATTACCATAAAGCGGCACTCCACCACCGTTCAGCATTGAATCCTGTCATGTTACACAACGATGAGACAGCGACGACCCCAAAACAAAAAGCAGAACTTTTTAATTCATACTTTTGCTCCGTTTTTCGACCACTTAAAGCTTTACCTATCACTGATGATTCACATGTCTTACTGTCGCCTGTGGAACAATTGTCTGATATGACTGTCTCGGAAGAAGAAGTTGCCCATCATCTTGCACACTTGGATCCAACTAAGGCAACAGGCCCCGATGGTATTCCTGCTCGGGTATTGAGGGAATGCAGTTTTGCCATTGTCCCAAGTCTTTGCTCACTCTTTAATCATTCATTACATACTGGTACTGTTCCATCTGAATGGAAATCAGCTGATGTTTCACCAATTCATAAGAAAGATAAGAAAGAACTAGCTATCAACTACCGTCCAATTTCACTGCTATCTATCATCAGCAAAGTCTTGGAGCGATGCGTTTGTAATCGTTTCTACGAACATATCCGAGATTCGATTAACGAAGCTCAGCATGGATTTCTTCATGGCCGTTCTTGTACTACACAGCTTCTGTCAACGTTACATCGTATTGGACAATTGCTTGACAAAAATACGCAGACGGACATTCTATTTCTTGACTTCGCTAAAGCCTTCGACTCAGTGGATCATGCCATTCTCCTAAGAAAGCTGAAAGATTACGGTATCTCAGGAGACCTTTACAGATGGTTCTCTGACTACCTGCATAACCGTACCCAGCGAGTTGTTGTAGAGGGTGCTGCTTCGTCATGGTCCCCTGTCACTTCTGGCGTTCCACAGGGAAGCATCTTGGGTCCAATGCTTTTGTTACTCTTCATCAACGATCTTCCTGATGTTATTCCTGAATCTACATCAACAGGACTGTATGCTGATGATACCAAATTATATAGAGAAATCTCAACTCCAGAGGATTGTTCACAGTTACAAGAAGCTTTGTCGTGTGCGGATGTTTGGAGTAAGGATAACAACATCAACTTTAATCCCTCAAAATGTAAAATATTGACATTCTCCCGCCGTAAAACACCTTTTCTTTTCGAATATTATCTGGGATCATCCGAATTGAAGCGTGTGAATGATGAAGTTGATCTGGGAATCACAGTGACCAGTAACCTTTCATGGACAACCCATATCAACAAAATAAAAGTCAAGGCGAACAGGTTGCTGGGTTTGCTTAGAAGAACATGCCCCTTGTTAACAGACCGCAGTATCCGGCGCACTCTGTATCTTTCGCTCGTCAAGTCGCAATTATGCTATGCCACAGAGGTTTGGTCTCCCTCCCAAAATAATAACAAATTATATCTGGAGCAAGTCAAAAGGCGTGCAACAAGATGGATCCTTCAATCGAAGAAAGGTGACATGACCTACAAGGACAGATTGCTGGCTCTGAATCTTTTACCACTGGTGTTTGACAGGGAAATTAAGGATCTGACATTTATGTTTAAAACTTTGCATGGTTTTTATGATTTGGATGTTTTCAATTTTGTGTCATTTGTTAATCATAGTCGTACCCGTAATTGTAATAATCCTTCTCTAGTGCTTAAAGTTCCGTCATGTAAAAGTAGCACTTTTCAGACATCGTTCTTTAACCGTATTGTTCCACTCTGGAATCATACTTGCAAAATTGCTTCTCCTAGAGATCTTCGCAGTTTGGCAACGTTTAAATCCTTCTTATCAAGAACATACTTCAATTTATTAAGTAGTAGTTTTGATGTGGACATGTGCTGTACGTGGTCTTTATATCGTAGCTGTTCATGCCATAGAAATAGTTAATTCTGATGTAAACATATACCAGCTCCTCGTGTCAGGGTTTGTTTTATCCTGATTCAGTTTTCTAATTTTTAACATGATTATACAAATCTGTATTATGTATGATAACTTAAATGTGGTGCAATATCGTCCTAATTTGATTTAATTAATCAGCTGGTATATGTTTACCAATTTATAATTTTTTTGTAAATAATGATATTAGATGTAAACAAAATTCAAGAGGGAGAGTGCCTCGCATGGGTCTTGAGTCCCGTTCGCACTCTTGCCGTTTGAACATCGTTCAATAAAGCTGTTAAAACTAAAAAAAACAAACTAAATAGTATAGATGCTGTAAGGAGATTTTGGAGTGCATTGGCAAATTTACGTTCGAGGGCAAGGACGCAGAATGCATCACGCAGCACTGGGATTATACAGTAGTCACCTATCGAACAGTACTAGAGACTGCAGGGGCTTTTCTTTCTGATAAGTCAGGGAAAAAGTATCATAAACCAACAAGCAGAACCCAAGATGGGCAAAATGAGTAAGTCAAACTATCAATGTAATTAAATATCACTATTTCTTGTCTTGTATATATTTGTATTCTAAACGATATCTTGTATTCTTTGTTATACAGTATGTCTATTTATGTTTTTATATGTATATATTAGTACTAATAGGTAATAATAGGGACTTGACTTAGCCTTGGGTAGGAAAATCTTATATATATTCCAACCATACATAACTAACTTCTTTAGTATTTGCAAACATGAAATTAACGACCCGCTGCTTGATTATTTAGATATCTTCGAACAGTACTTCCAGCTTGTCTGTATAATGAAATAAGGAAGCGATTTTCATCCTCAAGCACCACTGGATACAAACAATCACAGCAGAGAACTTGATTTACGGTTTAAAGGATTTTTAAAATAATGGGCCATTTCATGTAATGTGTGCACCCCTCCCCCCTATTGAAGGCTCTGGAAGTCCTATGGGGAGGGAGAGGTTAATATTGGTAATTTCCGAGAGGCTAAATCAGTCGGCCCCTTTGTTTTTCGAACAACATTGGCCACTTTCCAAGGGGGGAATGTGTCTACACTTTGATGTTCAATTTCCTATTAAGGGGGTAAAATTTTTAAGGACCCCTCAATAGGGGGGGGGGGGCGGGGGCGGGGTGCACACATTAAATGGAATGGCGCAATGTATTTATTTCCTATAATTTGTTGGTGAATATGAATTTTCTTTTCATACATGCATGTGAATGTTTTCTTTAATTGCTAAACATTTTGTTGTTGACCAGCCGTATTTGATTGACACGTGCTTTTTTGATGCCCTTTCATTGGCTCCCCACATTTTGTGCAACAAGAAGTCTTGCATTTTTGCTTGTTGGTAGATCTTGATTTTTCTCTCAGTTGGTCTTGGTGTTGAGTTTCAACTAAACAAAGCATAAGATGCTTTCTTACATAGCTGTATAATAAACACCACAACATACAGTACTATGGCTTCATCAATAAATTTAACAACATTTTCAGAAGCACGTAGAGCATTCTTTCCTTGATACTATCCAAGAGCATGCTTACTCTTAAGGCAAGAATTGGCAATTGTGTAAGGCTAGGGGTGGTTTTCCAGCTAATAGGTTAACAATAGTCATTAGGAAAATCATCTGGTGTTGGACAGACTGAAATACCATTACAAAATTTATTATTAGGAACTAAAAACAAACAAACCGACCTGAGGGAAGCAATTCAGTTATTTTCCCTTTTCTCTGGGTGAAAGTTTCTTTATATCTTTGACTAGGGTTTTCTTTGTCAGAATATTTTTCAGTTTCTTGTAGGGTTTTGATCCTATGAAAGATAGAAAACACTGAGATGTTAAAAATCATTTTATCCAGTTGAGATATCACACTCCTGGACACCAAGGAATGTACCATGTTACCACGTACCAACTTTAATCCGCTTCTTAGTTTCAGTAATCTAACCATGATGACACTTGTCATACAATGCGTTTGGATGTCCATCATACTCATTATTGATATGCCTCATAAATGGATTAATGTCCAATACCCATGCAAGATGTCCGATGGAAAAATCAAAAGGCCATTGGACATTCCATTTGTCCAATGGACCAGGAAATGTCCATTGGAGTTTTGTGTGTCCATTGGATCCAATGGACAAGTGGAATGTCCATCGGACATTTGCTTTTTCAGTTGGTCAATTACCATGTATTTGAGTGACGTAATGACAAGCACATGGACATCATGTAGATACAAGGCCAGTGAGATAGCCAAACGAAAGTGCCATCATACTCATTATTGATATGCCTCATAAATGGATTAATGTCCAATACCCATGCAAGATGTCCGATGGAAAAATCAAAACGACCATTGGATCCATTTGTCCAATGGACCAGGAAATGTCCATTGGAGTTTTGTGTGTCCATTGGATCCAATGGACAAGTGGAATGTCCATCGGACATTTGCTTTTTCAGTTGGTCAATTACCATGTATTTGAGTGACGTAATGACAAGCACATGGACATCATGTAGATACAAGGCCAGTGAGATAGCCAAACGAAAGTGTCCATTGGATCCAATGGATCCAATGGACCTGGAAATGTCCATTGGAGTTTTGTTTGTCCATTGGATCCAATGGACAAGTGGAATGTCCATCGGACATTTGCTTTTTCAGTTGGTCAATTACCATGTATTTGAGTGACGTAATGACAAGCACATGGACATCATGTAGATACAAGGCCAGTGAGATAGCCAAACGAAAGTGTCCATTGGATCAAATGGATCCAATGGACCTGGAAATGTCCATTGGAGTTTTGTGTGTCCATTGGATCCAATGGACAAGTGGAATGTCCATCGGACATTTGCTTTTTCAGTTGGTCAATTACCATGTATTTGAATGACGTAATTAGAAGCACATGGACGTCATGTAGATACAAGGCCATTGAGATAGCCAAACGAAAGTGTCCAATGGATCCATTGGATCCATTGGACACCGTGTTTTTCCGTTGGAAAAATATTTGTCAGATGGATCAAATGGGCAAGTGATTTCGCGTGCGGGCATAACATTGCTACAGCAGTTAGCGAATAGTACGTGGCTGCTAGCATATTGAAATATGCAATCATACTTGTTTGCACTATTTATTTTTGCGTTCTTGTTAAAGTGTGTAAATCTAGATAATTAAAATTACCATGTGACTATTATTGCTACAGACATATATTTGAGGTTTGGGCAAAGGTTATTAGTATAAAACGTTCTGCTGCTTGGCCGTTTACTACATTTTACTGTAATATATGTCAAAAGCCACGCAATTCTATCCGACTAGTATTAAAGATTTTCGTTTGCACTTTCGTTCGCGCGTACTGACTTAATTTGGCTTAAAATACTTTGAAAAATTTTAAAGATGTTATAGTCATAGACGCGAAAGCAGGATTCAAATGGGCAAGTGATTGATTCGTGCGGGCATATCGCTGGAGCAGTCAGTGAATAGTGACTGCTAGCATATTGAAATATGTAATCATTCTTGTTTTCATTCATTTTTGCGTTCTTGTTAAGTTTTTATTTTTTACTTGTATTTTTAGCGTAAATGTAGAGAATAAGAATTACCATGTGAGTAAAGCTACAGAGTATATTGGGCAAAGGTTATCAGTTTAAATTTATAAACACAACAGCATGAAACATGAGGCCGCCGCGAAATTCTATCCGACTAGGATTAAACATTTTCGGCGTTTCCATGCAGTATTGATATGTAATTATGAAACATATTTGTCGTGCGTAGTGACTTTGGCTTACGTTAAAAATACATTGAAAAGATTTAAAAATGTTGGATTTGAACACAAGCTTCCGACTGTGGAAGAACTGTGAGGAAAACTGCACTGGCAGTCAAAACTAGAAAGTTTGTATTGAAACATTTTTAATTCATTTCTTCTTGGTAACAGCAGCACTGACGAAACTGAGCAGTTTAATAGTAGCGACGGCGTTGGCAATGACCAAGGACTAGTTTTTACCAATTTTGACGCGATGTAAGATGAGATGTTATACTGATTATGATTAATTGGCATAGGAAACGAAGTGACTGTTATATAACACTACTGATATACTGATATGTTGTCATGGATTATGGTGAACGTGTAAGATAGGAAGTATTTATATTTTGCCGACACATGCATGTATCATCATATGTTATTTCGCCATACGACCTTTTTTATATTTTATTAAAGGACAGAAAAAATCCTTGGGCTCCTTGCAGCAGCTGCCACAGAATTGCAAATTCAAATTATATACAAACCACATGTAATTAAAAAAATTATTATAGCCTTTACATAAACGGATGTATCGCTTTGACAGTACCTGAAATCCGAGTACGTTCCATATAACTGATAGATTTGTGTGCCGATGGAAAGGTAACAAAACTGCAAGACGTCTTTCTGCGTGAAAAACTAATTAGTCTTTGTAAAAAGTCGTGGCAATTAATAAGTGCTTAATATACAAACAGCGAATAAAAAAAAGAACATAAACCCAAAAAAAAATCTGTTTGAGAGGGTTGGATAATGATGAGGCTAATGTATCCGTGTCGAACATCAATTACCTGCCTTGAATGCATGCCGCCTGTTATGTTTGAGTATTGGCGGAACTGGTGAAAAGTCGTCAGTTCGCGCGTAAAAAGTCTTGCGTAAAAGTCGTAATGAGTCGAAAAATGCCCTAAATTTGCGGTTTTCGCTAAAAAGTAGCTGCCTGCTCTCAGCCGGAATGGGGGCTGCTGAGCAGACTAGCTAGAAAAAGCAACTTTAATTTGTGGAATAATTTCTGTTCAGTAAAAAGCATCATAAGTGATGTCCAATGCTCAACTGAATATTTAAAATGCAATGTGTGAAGCCGGGTTTTTACTGGCAAAAAATAATATTATAAGCAAGAACACAAAGCATGAATGATTCTCTGAGCGTTTCAAAGACAAAAAAGAAAAAAAATTCCTTACAATTTGCTTCTTTCTACCATATAGGTAGCTTACGCTTGGAGTTGTGGTTAAGTGTCGATGCTTATTCAGCACTTCACTGCATTTATTTGTTTTGCATTTGCAACGTCAAATACGCTTGCATGCATTGTTATTGAACCCTTATAGGGTTGATAACACAATTAAACTTTATATATGGAATATAAGGCATATATAAGGTAATATATGTCCAGTTGGTATATACACCTAAAAATATGCGATAGGCTACATTGTTCTGTGGGAAATATATTCTTCAACAAACCGTACAATATATTTAGATATGTCCATCTTCATATCTAAACCTTGCATTGAGATTTGAGAAAGCAACTAATAGAACTTTGCGTTGGAAATGAAGTGAACTACATATAGGCAGAGCGCAACAAGATGACCAGGCGGTCGGTAACTAAAGCCGATGCCGGAGGCAATTAATTAAAGGAAACGTTATAATTTAATAAATGCATTATAACACGTCGTATTCCGACAAAAAAGTCGCCCATGCACACACTGTCAAAGACTTTCTGAGTTTATAGTCTGTTCCCACGACGGTTATATCCTGCGCATCAGCGGGAGTTTTAGCAGCTTTGACTATTAAAAGTCCTGTTTACACTACAAGCCTCGGTAAATGTGCCGCGTTTACACCATATATTACATTATTTTTTTTAGACTGGCTGAGTTTGGCCTAGAATTTTGTAATTAATTTTGTGTATTTTTATGTGTTGTGACGTGGTCCGCTCGTCCGATAATATCTCACTGTACCCTGTGGACACCGACGTTGCCATGAAAATAAGGCCAGGGCCGTAGCCTAAGTGTTTACATTCCCACAAGCGTAGGCCATGCAGGTCTAGGCCACCGGTTGTAGTTGGCCCATATTTCCTGGCCTATAGGTCAGACCAAGGCTAGGCCAAAGTCTGTTACACTTTACACTGCCAAAATGTAGGCCAAGGCCAGGCGAAGGCTTGTAGTGTAAACACGACTTTAAGTGGCAGTCCCGCTAAGAGCGGTCCGATGACTTTGATTTCGGAAAATAGATTTCCTTTATATTTTGTGTGTTGAAAGGCATTGGTATACAAGTGTCCAAAATAAATTTATTTTTTGAAAATTCTTTTTTATGGCTTCGCTAGACGCCAAAACTCATTTTACCCGTGCAGAGCTATTTTCAAGCAAAATCGAAGGTTGAATTTCGGTAAATTGTAGAGCCGCGCTGAGTCAAAACGCCTGACTATTTCCAAATTTTAACTAAATCAACAAGTTAAGATACAATTCAGGTTCCCTGTTCCAAAAAATAAGAGCATTTGAATAAATCGTGAATAAACGACAGCAACTTGACGGCGCGCCGCTTTTTGCTTCTTGTTCGGTCTACAAAATTACACTAAAATCGAAGCCTGAGATCTCCAAATGGGGACCTAAAATTACGCTGAAATGTGCTTGGCTGTAATGATTTATACTTATT